ACAATGTTAGAATAATGAACCGAACCCAATGCATGTAAAAATGGATACAACGCATGGTATGAAAAAAATGGAAAACATGATGCTACCACGACAAGAATATAAAGAAAACAGAGAAAGAAATGGGGGTTGGAAGACATACAAATATTACAAGTTTGCCCTCGCACAAGAGGGTCTAAAGTAATGTCCTAATTAAACTAATTATTATAAACCCAAATGAATTAACTACATTATTACAAACACAAATAAACTAATTAATTATTACAAGTCCGAATGGAAGCAAAACTAATATTAATAATCTAATGGATTTGAACGGGAAGCGAAGAACCGCATGCGCATAACCGAGAACATCTTCTAGAAACCTCTCTGTTTGCTGCCAGAATTTGCTTTGTTTGCAGTCAAAAAATTATTCTATTTTAGCCTTATTTTGCTCTGTTCTGCTATAAAAATGCCATTGCTTGTACAAAATTAGTGGCCGGCCGACCTTGAAAGGTGGTCGGCCGTACAGAATGGTGGTCAGCTGGCCACTATTTCTAGGGAATACCCTGTTGCAACAAAACTGCAATAGAGCAAAAATAGAGTGTGTCCAAGTGATGTTTATCCTCTTTGCCTTTCCTTATCATGAAGATAATCAAGGAAGAAATAGATTCGATTATCAAATTATCAATTATAGCAAATTTGTTGCGTGATGATCTTAGAAACGATAGGACAGAAGCTCAATAAATTAAACAAAAGATAGACAATACTTCCTCCTTATCATGGAGTTACCTCAATGGAAGGGGTAGACATTGCTTCATGAACCATTAAACATCACTAAAAAGTATGCAACGATTCAAAACGCAATAGGTTCAACATAACATCCGATTGAACCTAGCCTAATTTTATTACCTTTTTTTTAATCTCTTTGTAACGCCCTCAAAATAATACATAAAACCCAACAATTTCGACATGCATTGATATAAGAGAATAAAACATTCTTCCATTCATCAGAGTATTCTTACAAAAGATATTACATGTTGACAACAAAAGTAAATACCCTACGGGCTTACAACTTTCCAAGTCAACACTTGGATACAAAAAGTGAGTGCTACCTCAAATACATATTAAGCCGTTGGCTTGAATTTACATGTAATATCAAAATAACAAAACAACCAAAAAGAGTCTTCAACTCAAAAACCTTCCAAGCTATGTCCTTGGAGGTATATAGGGTGAGCCAAAGCCCAGTAGAGATATACTAAACCAAATATAAGCAATGACTAAAACAATAGCATTTGATAGATGGTTAACACTTATAAACCAGTTATATCACAATACAGTTACATGACAGTTATGTCCATGTTACGTTCCACATTCCTTTACTTATCCAAATCATTTCATAAACATGGCTCAGAACTTGGCCACACAATTAATAGGAATACATTCCTTATTAAACATTTCCTTTATTCACAATTCAAATGAGTCTATAACACACATTAAAACCACTTCCAATAGTGCAATTTAATACACACATTTGCTGTATTAACACTTCAAGTGATACACATATTTGATGTATCTATGGAGTCCATCCCCTATCTCCTCCCAAACAGGTTTGAGAGTCCATCCCCTATCTCCCCTCAAACCATGGAGTACATCCCCTATCTCCTCCCAAACCATATGTATATACAATGTATTTAACACTTGTCATACACAATAATCAATCAATACACATATTTGCTGTATTAATTCAACCGTCATATTCAATGACATATTCAATGTAATTAGTTTCAGTTTTCCCTAATCAACATACAGTGTCTACAACAATCAAGACTATCCTCCACCGATAGCCCAAAGCAGTTATTTCTAAACAGAAAATAAATGCATTAAACAAATATAATATCAACAATTACATCGGTGGGTGATAAATAAATCCTACTACACCATTCAATCCCATAATTTCCCAATTTCATGGATTTCAACTCAATTCCATATTTTCCCGAATTAATTATACCAATTAATTTATCACAACAATTAGGGCATTTCCCCATTTTATCAAAAATTAACCCAGGTTCAATTTCCTCAATTTGACACTAATAATGCCATTTTTCAAGTCTTACATACACATGGAGTTTAATATTTGAAAACCCCCCCTTTTTTTTCTCAAATTACAAATCAAACCCTAACTTTTCCCAAAACTACCAACACCACCAACTACTCAAAATGCATAAAACTTGGGTCAAAACTCATAAGAAGGAGTAGGTTATCCCTACCTCGAAACGGAGAGCTCAAATGAAGAAGATGACCAAAACCCAAAGTGCTCCAAATCCGAGATTTTTCAGATTAAAAAGTAGCCCACACAACCCTCTATCTTTCTTACAAAGAGACTAGGTTAGAAACTCACTAGAAGTAGATTAATCCCTAGAGAGAAGATGTATAGAGAGAGAGAGAGTGCTCAGATCTAGGGTTTGCAAAACAAAAGAGGATGAAAAAGTGAAGTGTTCCCCGCTGCTGCCTATTGATATAACATAGGCTCGCTCGAGCGAAGGATTCGTCGCTCGAGCGACCAGACACAAAGAATACTCGCTCGAGCGTAGGAAGCCTCGCTCGAGCCAACAATTCGAAGCTTCAGGTCTGCAACCCAGAAGCATGCTCGAGCGACAGAATGCTTGCTTGAGCGAAGAAACCCAAAACATAGACTCCGCTCGCTCGAGTGAAGGAAAGCTCGCTCAAGCCAAGAATTGCAACTCTCAGGTCCAGAACTGGACACAGACGCAAGCTCGAGCAAAGGACCTCTTGCTCGAGCCACCTGATACAAAACTCAACTCTCGCTCGAGCGAAGGAACCCTGGCTCGAGCGAAGGATCTAAAACACAGAGCTCGCTCGAGCAACAAAAGTCTCGCTCGAGCGAAGGACCAAAATTCTGGACAGCAACCATTTGCTCCCAATCACACCCAACCTGTAACAATCCTGCCCAAAACATCCTATAACTCAAATACAAAGTATTGAAGGACGGAAACAAGATATAAACCACAACTAACATCCACGGAACCAAGTCCGGATACAACAACCAAAGGAGGAAGAACCGAGACCGCTGTATCTATCGTCACTCCTTCCCCAGACACCACATAGCCTAAGAACTTCACTTCTTTTAACCAGAACTCGCACTTCCCGAACTTAGCATACAATTTGTGGGTTTTAAGAAACTCAAGCATAACTCGCAAGTGTTCTTCGTGCTCCTCCTCAGAGGGTGAGTAAATCAGGATGTCACTAACAAAGACAATTACAAAGCGGTCTAAGAACTCATGGAAGATTCGATTTATCAAATCCATAAGCACGGCCAATTCGTTGGTTAATCCAAAAGGCATCACTACGAACTCGTAATGGTCATACCGCGTACAGAATGTCATGTTCTGGAACACAACCCCAAACATTGTTTATTTTCTCGGGAACACAAACCAGAACATTGGTTATTTGTTTGGGAACACAGGTCCAGACATGAAAATTTGATATACTTTGAAGGGTTAAAATTGATCACATATGCATGAGTTCCTATTTTATGAAGTTCGGAAACACAGACCCAAACATTGATTATTTCTTCAGAAACATAGACCCGAACATACCTTATTTGTTCAAGAACGTAGGTCCAAACATTCTTAGTAAAAGAGAGGAGAGAGACTTCGAAAGATAGGGGAGGAGCGAGATTGAGACTGAGTAAAATGTGGATTTGCTTCCTTCAAACTATAGATACACACACACACACACATATATTTTTATATCCGTTGTTTATAGAATTTAGGATTGATCAAAGAAATGGATGGAATTGAAGACAGACATATGCACCTAATACAAAGAAAAAAGTGAAAAATGCAGATAACATGTTCCTTACACCAATCGATTCACTTCAGAAATATTTTTTTTCCCACCGTCATGAGAAGGAATGGGTTTTGGAGAGTTTTTTTTTTTTTTTGAAGGGATTTGAGAGATAATCAGTGTGCTTGGTTTCAGTTTTCTGGATTAAGTTTTTGAAAAATTGAGTTTTTTGTTTTTCGTGATTTTTTTTTTAGTGAATATTTCTAAAATTTTAAGCATTTTTTTTGGATGCACCTTACTTAGATGTATCTAAAAAGTAAAATGTTTGTATAAAAATATTTTTAAAAATTAATAAATACACAAAAATACGAAAAATACACTGAATTTTTAATTTTTTTTTTGTATTTTTGGTATTTAGTGAATTTTTTAAAGATTTTTTTCAAAAAAATTATATTTTTTTAAGTGTATTTATATTAGGTGTGTCTAAAAATTTTTTTAAAAAATGCTTAAAATATTAAAAAGATTCAAATAAAAAAAAAACCACGATAGAATTTTTTGAAAATAAGTGTTTTCAAAAAACTAAAACCAAACTAGTTGAATGGTTTTTAAGGATCTAGTGGTATGCATTTGAGTAGGGGTGAAATTTACATAAGGATAATTTCAATATTATTTAGGGGGGAAGAAATTTTAAGGGTTTTAAAATTTATAGGTGCATTTCCAAACAAATGGGAGTTCAAAATAATAAATAGAATGCTAACAGAGCACTTTTAAAAACAAAAACAAAAACAAAAAATGGAGAAGGTAGGGGTTCTAAAACAAATAAAAAAATATATATATATGGCAAGATTCTTTTACTAATCCCCTATATTATACCAAGAACATTGCAAACGTTGGATACATTACATAATTGTAAGATGTTATTAACTTCAAGACAAGTAATCTAAGGATAAATAATTTCATGTAATCCAATGTCACGATTTCACAAGAAAGGATAGAATAAAAATCTGTGTGGTCTAATTTTTGAATTTTCTCATAAAAACAAAAATTAGTTGAATGAAAATAAATACTAAAAATATATTTCCACTTAAAAAGAAAATACCATACAAAAATGTTTTTCAAAAATATCTTTCGTCGAAACATAGAAACAACAGTAACAGTAAGCACAACTGAATTCATAATAGTAATTGAGCTTTTGATTCAAATATGTAAGCTTTGTTTCTTTTTATTGATGTAATTCAGTACTCATTTGTTTTAGAGTAATACTACAATGAAAACAATTAACTACAATGATGTTGTCAAGAGGCCAGCTAACTATACACTACCATAGACACTTCACTATATATATATATTTTTTTTTATGTATTGATAACTCTCGGGTGCACATCTTCTAGGCAGAGATTGGAAATATAGATGCTGCAAAGCATCATAAACACTTAACAGGTCCTCCTGTAACATTCATGAATTAAGAATTGTCATTTATGTGCAAACACGCATTTACATAATTGACACTACATAAATGTGAACAAAACGCTATATCCCATATGGATAGCAAATTAGATAATCTTTACTCAATCAATGAACTCATCAGTGGCACCGAATGATTTCACCTAGCATTGAAAATGGTTATAACCCAGTCTACAAGTATTTGCCTATGTTAGCAGCACACTACCTTCATGTTCTAACATAATTTCGCAAATATGATGCCTAATTTTCTCATGTGCTAGATTTTCCGTAGGCCAAACCAAATTTTGCTAGTTGTTTGAGCTTAGACCATCTACTATGGCAAAAATAGATCATCCGAATTGGTTATTCAATTTTCTGTCCCCCATCAACTAAAATAGGAGGAAGAAAGTGCCATCTAATGTTTTTCCCATTCAGTTACTTGGTCATTACACCAAAACACATATGGTCAAATCCTGAGCTTAATGTTTTTCCCATTCAGTTACTTGGTCATTACACCAAAACACATATGGTCAAATCCTGAGCTTACCTAGATTAAGAGAAGGGGAGTTTCAATGAGCACCAAAAAGGTACCTCCAATTTTCAAGATGATTACAATTTTGTAAGTCAAGAAAAGGAACCAGATCATTGGTCTTTTCCTTTCCATGCAAACACATGTGCACATACTTGTAACAAAATGATTTAAGTCATGTAGGCCAAACCAAATTTTGCTAGTTGTTTGAGCTTAGACCATCTACTATGGCAAAAATAGATCATCCGAATTGGTTATTCAATTTTCTGTCCCCCATCAACTAAAATAGGAGGAAGAAAGTGCCATCTAATGTTTTTCCCATTCAGTTACTTGGTCATTACACCAAAACACATATGGTCAAATCCTGAGCTTACCTAGATTAAGAGAAGGGGAGTTTGAATGAGCACCAAAAAGGTACCTCCAATTTTCAAGACGACTACAATTTTGTAAGTCAAGAAAATGAACCAGATCATTGGTCTTTTCCTTTCCATGCAAACACATGTGCACATACTTGTAACAAAATGATTTAAGTCATTTAAGAGAATGGGAGTTTTGCGAGGAAGTAAAATTGTTTGAGAAATTATAACTAATTATAATAGCTTCTATGTTCATCTTTTGCTTTCCATGAAAACACACGTGCACATTCTTATAACAAATATATATATATATGATCGTGGTACATATATTATATAAATGAACGCATTCACAATTTACACGAAAAGAGAAACGGAAGTTAAACAGTTTCATAATTTACCGAAGCCCATGTCAAAAGTCTGTACACCAACTGTAAAGCCAAATCATTTGGAAAGCTGCAGATATTGAGAAAAATACATTATGAGTTAACCAAAGCACTAAAGGACAGCATTGTTGGAAATCAAACTCAATTTGAGTTTTGAAAAGAAGGTTCCAAAAAATTCCAGATTGAACAAGAGGAAGTCAATTTGAATTTGAAGAAGAGAAGAAGAAGCTAGAAGTTTTTGGAGAATTCATGAAAATTCATCATTGTGCATGTGGAGACTACAAAGTTCAAGTTGAATAAGAGAGTCTAAAATGAAGAAGAAACTTCTTGAACGGGGGAGTTCACTTTGGATTTGGTTTCCTATTATTTGTATTTTCTTTTGTTCAGATTGTGTGTTTACATTGTAGGATAAATCTATAAATATAGAGGTTGTGAGATTATTTTAGATAGAGTGGGAGAAAATGTAATCTCTAGGAGTGGGAGATTGGATTTCTAAGAGAGTTTGAGAGTTGCTCTATTTAGAGAGTAAGAAAGATTGACCCTATGTGGCAGAGAGGGGAGCTTAATGAGTGTTGAGTAAGAGAGAGTCTTTCTCCATTGTAATCTTCTTGTAATTTCCATTATATAGTGAAAATGGTTACTCTCTTGTGAACGTAGACAATGAGGCCAGATCAAGTTTAATATTGTGTCTCTGTAAATCACAAATGATTTACACCCCTCTCCCATTACCAAAGTGGTATCAGAGTTTATAAAAGAAATTGTCATAATTTTCAACAATGGTATCAGACCTTACCACAGCCAAATAGGACAGGACATTATCTGATATGGTCCACAAATATAATATAATAGTAAACTAACCCAAGTTTTAGAGGATCTTTGTTCCTTACTTGACAAAAACTTTTCAAAGCAGTTTGTTGAAGCTGGCAAAGTTCCATCCTAACCCACAAGAAGTGATAAACAAAACATAGTTTCATCCTAACCCACAACAAGTGATCAACAAAACATTCTCAAGCAAAACTAATTTGAGTGAACATCTTGACACAAGGACAACATAACACTTAAAGAAACCTGAGGGAAAAAGCAATTTTCTTATCGGGTTCTTGGTTGAGTTACCATTTCTTATTTTTCAAAAAAAAAAAAATGAAATATATATTGAAAAAAAAATACATAATAAAAACAGTTTTCTATTTTTTTTCCTTGGAAAACAAGATCATGAAAACATGTCTAGTGCATATATCAGCTTTAAAAATATAAATATGATTTAGCAAAGATAGATAAGTACAAAAATACATACCACTTTCTTTTCTCTCTAACTTCTGAGATGTTCTGAATCTCCAGCCATTTTGTTGTAGATAGCCACAAACGACCTAAATCTGAAAATATTTATCTCTAAAAAGTGCATGCAACATGTATTATAGCGGCAATTGCTCATGATTGAGGATTTTAATATAATTCTGGTATAGAGTTTACATATTCAGCTTCAATATTACTAAATTCATTCCATTTTAAGAACCATACCCATTTACAAGACTTCATCCACTTTAGGTTCTAATTGTCAAAGCAAGTCAAAATAAATGCCTTCATACGCATGTAAACATAGGTAAATTTTTGGATTTTATAGAGACTTTGTAGTAAATTTTGATGTATAGTTAGATGGTGTTTGATAAAGTTAAAAATTGAAAATTAAGTATTAAAAACGAAATGTTGAATTTTTTAAGATGAAAAACTGTTTGATAAAATTTCAATTGTTGAATTAAAAACAAATTGCTTAATATGTGTAAGATCAAATTTAAAATTTATTTTTTTTAATTTTTATATTGTAATGGTTGTGATAGTGGTGGTGGTGATGGTATGGTGGTTGTGGTAGTGTTGGTGGTGACATTGATAGTGTTGGTAGCGGCGACAATAACGATGGTAATGGTAGTAAAATAATGGTGGTACTTATGGCAACAATGGCAATGGTGATGAATGTGGTGGTAGTTGTAGTGGTGGTGGCATGACGGTGATAGTGGTGGCAGTGACATGGTAGTGGTGGCGGTAGCATGATGGTGTTGGTGGCATGATGGTGGTGGCAGTGGTAATGGTGGTGGTAGTGAGTTTATAATGATATACATTGGTGCTAATGTTTAGTACTTGTAAATTCAGTTAAAATTAAGTAAGTTCATATGACTTAAAATTTTCTTAAATTTTAACCTACATTTTAGGAGACTTAAATTTTTAAGTGATATCAATTGTGGTTATCAAGCTTAATTGATTATCACCTAATACATTTAGTTTTAAGTGATGAATTAAGTTATCAAACACTCCCTTAGTATAGCTTCTTGGTGCCTCATCTTTAATAGAATTATACTAATCAACCAAAAAATATGAGCTAGTGTTTTAAAAGGCTGGCATACTGAGGCAATAAGGTCTCTTATAGCCTAAGGACGAGGCTTGAGGCGAGGCACGCTCCTCACCAAAGCGAAGCACAAGTAGTAGAAGAAAAGCAAAATTATAAAATAGGCAAACTTTTCAACATAACAAATATATATAGAATTTCAAAAATTATAACAATTTCCGATAATCTTTAAACATAACATTCAATCTTCTAAAAATTAGAAATATAATATCCAACAAAAGATATAAAGCATAACATTAAATCGTTTATCACTTGCTGCTCTCTTTTGACCATGTTTGGTCATTTTATATTGAAGAGTTTTGAATCCCTATGGATATGCCCATCAAAAAAAAAAAAAAACACTTAATCAACCGTTGGAGTAGAAAAATAGATAAAGCCCATGAAACCCACGCCTCGAAAAAAAGCCCTCACCTCAGCGCCTAAGTTGCGCCTTGTGTATTGCGCCTCGTCTCGACCTGTTCGAAGCACAAGATTGTGCCTCATTGCGCCTTACGCTTAGGCACGCGCCTAAGAGCGCCTTTCAAAACACTGATATGAGTGCATTCTTGAAAATCTAAAAGAAAACACATATCCAAAAAAAAGGACCAATTCCAATCTCAGCCTTTAGTGCGTAGTCTAAAAGAAAATGGAAACAAAATTTTTTTTTAAAAAAAAGGCAAAATCCAATCTCAGACAACGATACCTGATATGTTGTAGATGAGGTTCTTCAGCGAGTCGCCCCATCCATCACCATCTACCCTGACAATAACCAAAAACAATACATGAGATAACTTAAAACTTAAAATCCCTAACCATCAAATTCAAGGAGAACAATTAAAACTGGAGCAAATATTTAAAAGAGAACAAAAAACAAGACAACAACGTTTCTACAATATGCAGGTAGATTCATTCAAACAAATCTTGTTCAGCAAACAAGTGTACTGCTCTCCATCTATTTTTATCCAAGAGTGAAATAAAATAAATTGAAAGCAAGTTTAGATTGTTCTTATGGTCAGTTCCTAATATGAATAAAGAAGCAATCAATACAGGATATTGTCTCTGTCATCCAAAAGAAAAGGAGAGATGAGATATTCATATAGCTTTAGAAAGTTCAAGTTGATAAAAAAAAAAATATTAATGTCACATGACTTATCCAAGTGGAAGAACTAAAATATATATATATGTACTTATTTACTTGGACAATTGCTGCCTCTATAGTTGATAGATATGGACCTAGAAATGCTATGGTGGTGGAGATTGAGGGAAGGCAGATGGAACTCCCCATTTCCTATAACTTTGGAGTTGAGAGAAGTTACTCTGGAAGAACATTGACAGCTCTTCCAAATATGAAGACTAGAAATGGGGCATATTAGGTGACAGCATGTATCAGCTATGGGAAATTCAGCAAAAACTACTTAACACTTAAATTCTAAATGAACTTTTCAGTACAGGTTTGAATTGTTTTTCTGGTACATGTGAATTAGTAGGATTCAAACTAATTCAGAAGTAAAAGTTCAAATGAAATTCTCAAAAATGCTAAACATCACCCTCTGTTACATAAAGCAAAAGGATTAAGTTTTGCAGCAAAGGTAGGGCCAAAAAATAAGGAATACAGAAAGATGCCAACTATGGCAAAGGGAGAGGCTCCGCTCAAGATCATCCATAGAGGTATAAAAGCTTATTCCCATGTGTAAATCCTTAACGTGAATCTGTTGATGTTAATGGATGAAAAGCCTGCATAAAATTATATGTGATTGTACCTTATATAAAAAGGCAAGCCCACTCAGTTTCTTTCTTCTTTTTATATAAAGATCTCACACTTATCCACACAGAGAGAGAGAGAAGGGGGGAGGACTTAAACAATAATGTCATAACTATAAGAAGGGCGAAGTTTCACATTACAAAAAATTATTTATTAAAAATGACATGGGAACCCATTTAATTAGTCTCAATGGAACAAACTGTATTTAAAAATAAGAATACAAAAAGATGATAATAACTTTTCTAGGCTGAGAATTACATCATACCTTCTAGAAGATAGTTCACACACAGATTGAGAATGAGATGCAGCCAGCCAACCATAATAGCTACCAGTAGCAACCTCCGAAATTCCTTCCCCACTTTCATCTACCATAACTATAATGGTTGTTGTATACCTATTCTGTGATTTACGAAGTTGATGCCCTCAAATCAATAATTAGGAGTAAAAAAGTAGTATATGAAACAAAACAGGATTGAAACGAAGTATTTCATACCTTAATATCGTGGATCGCTCTTACCAATGCTTCCTTTAACATTTTAAAGTGAAAGGAACCATCAAAATTATCACCCTCCAACTTGTTGATGAATTAACAATGAAGTTACCAACACTTGTTTTTTTTTTTTTGATCGGCAAAACGAAAAACTTTATTGATGAAAACCATACAAAGTAAGGAGGATACATCAATAAAGAGGAGCTTGGAGCTAAGCGAAGATCCAACCTCCTAGTTGGTGAGAAACCAATAGATAGAGTAAAAAAACAATAGATCAGATCAAGAAAAACATAACAAAAACTAGAACAGAACAACAACATTGACCAGATCAGCAACCCCAGCAGTGCAGCTGCAAGAGAAAACTCATTATCAGCAGCAAAACCCCAACAATATCCAAGTGAGAAAACTCCAACAGTGTGAGAGACTTCAACCCTACCCCGTCAGTATAACAGCATCAGCAATAGAATTCAACAGACCCCATCAGAGGTTAGACCCCAACAGATCAAGATGTAAAAAACCACGATAGCAATAATAACCCAGAAAAGAAGCACTACGACAAACCAATAAAAATTCCAACCAAACCCCAGATTTAACACTGAAAGCAGTTCACAGATTATACCACTCAGTGCATAATCCAGAATTTGACACTTTGCAGATTTAAAACTAAATCATTCACGGAATAGCAGAAAGAAGGGTTATACGCTCTGAACCACAATGTGATCCGTGTTTTAATAAGTTCACATAGCTTTTCAAAAAATCCACCTGTGAGTCACCAAAAGTGATTTCGGTCCTCTGCTTCCATAAAGACCAAAACACTGCCAAAGGTATTATCTTCCAGAGTACCTTCAATCTGTTATTCCATCTATACCAAGACCACCACTGAAACAGTCCAGTCAGTGATCCCGACTGCATCCAAGATACACCTCACCAGCCAATGATGTTGGACCAAACTCGCCAGCTAAACGGATAGCACAGTAGCACATGAGTGACAGTCTCTAATTCATTCTGCAGAATTTACAACTAGCATCAGAATTAGCACTGATTGCTCCAATCCTTTGCAAATAACTAGTAGTCTTAATCCTCCCTTTCCATACTAACCACCCAAGAAATTGCACTTTCGGAGGGGCAGCATTCTTCCATATGAGGTCCCCTAAATTTGCAGGCAGAGTAGGGGATAGCTCACACCACTTATAGACAGAGTCAACAGTGAAAATTCCAGACTTATCTGCAGTCCAAAATAACCCATCAACCATACCATTCCTAAGCTCTGGAGCAGTGCGCAACAGCTCCTTCAACCTCCTCAAGTCATCCAATTCCCATTGGAACAAAACCCTTTTGAAAACCAACTCCCAGTCCTCATTATCAATACTCCTACTCTTAACCACTGCCAGTGATTCCCCTTTATGCATAGACACAGAGAATAGTTAAGGAAATAAATTTTTTAAATAGTCGCTACCAAGCCACAGATCCAGCCAAAATTTTGTGAGCCTCCCATCCCCAATACTGATCCACAGAGAATTCCAGCAATTCAGGGCACTTAACAGCTACCCTTAAAATATCCCTCCACACCATAGACCATTTGGAATTTAGCTCTTGAACTGGCCACCGAGACCTACCAAACTGTGGATATTTGTTGAGGATTACTTGTTTCCAAAGAGCACCAGATTCACACCCAAATCTCCACCACCATTTGAGAAGAAGACATTCATTCATGGTTTTCACCTTTCTGATGCCAAGACCCCCAGTACTTTTACTTTGGATGATGTCCTCCTATTTTACCATGTGAATTTTCCTTCTAATTTCATCACCCCCCTAAAGAAATCTAGACTGAATCCTATCAATCTCCTTGGCTACTCCTTCAGGCATTCTGAACAAAGATAGATAAAAGACTGGTAATGAAGATAACACAGACTTAATCATCGTCAACCGACCAGCGAAAGAGAGGAACCTTCTCTTCTAAGAAGCTAGCTTTGATTTGTATTTATCAATGACAGGTTGCCAAGTCCTTTTTCTCCTAGGCTTAGCACCCAATGGCATCTCGAGATACTTCAAAGGTAACCTATGATGCAAGCAGTTCAGGATGGCAGCAAAATCTTTGGTGAGCTCTTCGTTGATTCCAATCCCACACACTACACTCTTATGGTAATTAATCTTCAACCCAGACAAAATTTCAAAACACCTTAAAATTCTTGTGATATTTAGCACCTCCTCCCTTTTTGCCTCACAAAACAAAATTGTGCCATCAGCAAATTGTAAGTGAGTGATAATGAGACCATTTGAACCAACTGATGCACCCTTTATCAATCCAGCCTGGACAACTCTATGTAACAAAATGTTAAGGCCCTCAGTTACAATATTGAAGAGAAAAGGGGATAGAGGATCGCCTTGTCTAAGCCCCCTTTAGGGGCTAAACTCAGCTATAGGTGATCCATTTACCAAGATAGAGACTTCAGCAGTTGAGACACACTCCTTCATCCATTTGATCCATTTTGAGCCAAAACCAAAATTTGAGAACATGGAGAAAAGAAACCCCCAATTAATTGAATCGTATGCTTTCTCAAAATCAAGCTTTAGAATAATGCCTTTCTTATGCTTCTTTTTCCAACCATCAACAATCTCGTTAGCAATCAGGATGCCATCCAGAATACTTCTCCACCTATAAACGCAGATTGAGATTCACCGATGATCTTTGGTAGTACTACTTTGAGTCTAGTAGATAAAACTTTGGATAACACTTTGTACAACGATCCAATGAGACTGATAGGCCTGAAGTCACTGAGAGAAGAAGGATTTTCATTCTTCGGAAGCAAAGCTACAAAAGAACTGTTGATACCAAGAACCAACTTAGAGTTAGTATGAAACTCTCTCATGAATTGCATCACATCCTCTTTAATTATTTGCCAACACTTCTGGAACATCATAAGGTTAAAACCATCAGGCACAGGGGCCTTGTTCCCATCGCAGTTGTTAATAGCTGCCACAACTTCAGATTCTGTGAACTCAGATTCCAAAGCAACCCGCACCTCTTCATCCCCAATAGATTTAAAAGGACCGGATAAGCATGGTCTGTTGAGCCATGACTCTGCAAACTGCTTCTGAAAGTGGTTTAGCACTTCAAATCTTATTTCCACCGGATCTTCTTTCAAGGCCCCATTAACCTCAATAGAGCACAATGCATTCCTATTCCTTCTTGTGGAAGCCATGACATGGAAAAATTCGGTATTTCTATCCCCTTTTAACGACCAGTTGGCTCTCGACTTCTGCAACCATAACCATTCTACCATTTTGCTCAAGTTTCATGCTTCACCTTTTACCTCCCTAAGCCTAGATCTCTCTGCCTCAGTAAGTGACCTTTGTTCAACTACCAAATCCATGTCATGTATCTCCTTCTCCAATTGCTTAAGTTACCAACACTTGTAATTCTTATAACAATTATGCAACCAAAGAAAAAAGTTACAGAATTATATTCTAGACTTGTATATGAAAAATATGCTTTCAATCAACAAGTATAGTGAGCATGTACAACTTATAAGTTAAATACAAGGTCATGTATTTACTTAAGAGAAAAGATAATGCACACATGACAATTAAAAAACACTACATCATATAAAAGACAATGTCAGTTTGTAAGTAGAGCATGAGTGTTCATACAGGCACACAAGCCACACACCCTCTTCTTGTTATTATTCCTTCCAATGAGTAGATGTATCACATATTCATACTTCAATCTATAAGATATATTATGTATACATAATTATGTGCCTTAATGTCTATCAAGAAAAAATAAAATTAATTACATGTGCACACAAGGTGGAAAATAAAGTCCAACATTTTCAACAAACAAAAAGGACTCACCAAAAAAATAACAAGAAAATTGAATGCTTGAGTTCCAACACATAACACTCAAGCACGTGTCATTGTCTCAATCAATAATTCATATGGACAAAATGAAAGATTAAAAAATGCACAAATACATTTAATATACTGGAGGGGCAAATTAGAGATTATATTTTCAACCTATTCATTTTTTTTTTTTTTGATCAACAACAAAGATCCCTTTATTGATGATGGAAACCTTACAGGAAGGGAGAAACATCAACAAAAGAGAGGGATGATGCAAGCCATCACCAAACCAAAACCCTATTGGTGAGGAACCAACAGAGACAGCCACTTACAGATACAGCAAAAAACAAACAGCCAACTCAAATAGATGAAAAATAGAGGCATGCAACCTATTCCAACTACAAACAAACCCAAAGTAGGCATGGATACAGAGTGACAGATTATCACACAGCAGCATCCACACAACAGATAACAGCAGCAGATCAACAGATTAGTACACAGCAGCATACACACAGATGAAGAGTAGCAAACCCATACCCTGCAGCATACCCAGCAGACCCATACCCAGCAAATACAGAATAGCAGATTAGCCTCAGATGCAGAGTAGCAAACCATCCACACAGCAGCTTATCACCCCTCAGTCCCACAACACACTTAGATTATATCAGACCATACACCCCAAAAACCAGTCCAGAAACCAACTCAGCAGGCTATAAGTTGATCAAAATCCATGGCCCTCCTCAAATGCATTCCTTAATCTGAGCCAAATTGATGGTTAAATCCAAGACGGAGTACCTGATCTTTCATACAGAAGCTTTAACCCATAAAGCAAATCTAATCTTTATCAGCTCTCCTAAGTCAGATGCACAAGGTTGCACTCCACTAAACAAACATTCATTCCTTAACTTCCAGATGGACCAAAGTATAATGCAAGGCAAGGCTCTCCACAATCTCCTAGCTAATTTCTTATAATTCCACCCTATCCACCAATGAAACAAACCATCAATATTCCTTGGCACCACCCATAGACACCCCCACCAAATCATTACATCAGACCACACCTTCCATGAAAATGGACAGTGGAGTAATACATGCATAGCAGATTCATTCTCAACTTTGCAAAAGGCGCATAACACAGAAGCCTCACTGTGCAGCACACCTATATGTTTTAAAAAGACCCCTGTTTTCACTCTATTCCTCCAGGCCAACCACCCAAAAAATTGGACTTTGGGGGGAATGTCATTATTCCACACAAACTTACAAATTTGGAGAGAAGGGCCCAAGAGGGAATCACTATACCGATATAAATCTGAGACCTTAAA